GCGTGGGCTTTTAATAGGCCTAGTCATTAATCACAGCCTGTGTGGGTCTTCTAATAGGCCTAGGAATTGAACAACCTGCAAGGATCTTCTGATAGGCCTAGGTGTTAAACACCGCCTGTTTGGGTCTACTAATAGGCCCAGCTATTTAACACAACCTGCGTGGGTCTTCTAATAGTACTAGGTATTGAACCTACCGCATACTCGCCGAAATCGCAGACGCGCATGTCGCCCACAGGAATCAGTCCATACACAATGGCCGTCCAGGCGCAGGGGATGAGAACGCTCGTCAGACACAGCGCAAAGAAGTATAGCAGAATGGTTTTGGGAGGTCTGTTGGTTGGGGAAATGGAATTGTTTTAGTGTCGTTTTGTTTGTTTGTTTGTCGGATTATGCTTGAGATCTGCAAAGAGTGGGGTCCGGTAACAGTTGTCACGCACAGCGAAAATAAATGCAACGGAACGACTTTTAGGGGTCTGTATAACGGCCTTTTAGGGGTCTGTAGAACGGCTTTTTGGGGGTCTGGGCATGACGTGAGCTTAGAACGACTGGGGAATTGTGACGATTGACAGACAAGTGCCACGCCTGGCAGCATAATTACTGTAACTGTCGCATGCGCCAATGAGATAACTGAACCAGGTTACTGTAGTCAACAAAACCAGTCTACCACGCATATACTGTAGTACAACACCTGATCAATTTTATAACCTTCCCTCCGCTGAGGTAGAACATTATTGTCAAGATGTTGAGCTTCTGCCTGAGTTCCTCGGGGTATTTGGTTTTGTTCACATACTCGTCCTTGAACTTACCGGTCTGCTGTTTTGCAAGTTCCATATCCCACCCAAATCTGCAGAAACCCCACATGACAGGTACAAATATGACAGTTATAAGTATAACAGATATAAGTACGCGAACCTTGTATCCGCCTGTGTGTATCATACATACACAGAGGCTGAGTTGTGCCTGGTATGTCGTCGTCAAAACCATGCACTACATTAATTGTCATCTGCAGCGTATTTTCTCTACGTTTTAGACCTCGCGATGTATCGCCGTATATATGACTACATACGCGCCCAAGGTAGACCCATACCTCTCAGCCAGGGCTGGCTCGTATTCGTCGGGTATGTTCAAAGTGTCCCGATCCGCCCCAAACACCACCCACGACCACCACCACACGTGGCATGCATGGTGTTCAAACGGATTGTTCTTGACATCATCGGACTCCTGATCCTTCCAGCGTTTAGGATAGTATACTTCGTGACCCTTCTTAGGCCAAGGATACCACTCCAGGTCTCCTTCATCTCCCCCGCGAGCCCTGAGTCTGAGGTGCGCGGCCGTGTCCTCAACATCAGGTAAGGGACCGTCATCTTTCTGGGTGTATGAGGGTTTTTGTATGAAAGTACGCATCAAATTAGACACAGTAGCTTTTGTGGGTGTGCGGATATATACTGCAGTTAAGATATGACTGTCTGTTAGCGCTGGAAATCGAAGCGCTTAAACTGGAGATGAGCATTCATCCAAATGCATTGATTCACAATCTCTTTCTGTGTAGCAAAAACTTAAAATATATTCAGATCATCCGTTTTGATGAAATCTATATAGGTGCGACGAAATCAGAAAAATAAATTGATGGTGTGAGTTTGAGTGAG